GGAGATCAGCCATTCGCTTTCTTAACACTTGAAAAGCCATCCGGAGAAGAAAGAGCTCGGCAGGAATAGGAAGGCAGGCAGCAGTATTACAGAGAAGAATATACTATTGTTCACATTACAAAAAACTTTTTAAAAATTTATTGAGATTTAAACGTTCTGATAGTAAAAAATTTATGCAGAAAGATCAACTAATTTGAATATTAGAGGATGTTTATTTGACATTGTGAAGTATACCACGTAGTTGTACCAAATTTTAACTACCAGTCAAATGCTATATAATATCTGTACCACAACACAACAATATACAGAGATCATTACTATTTACATTTAAGGACACATTCATATTTGTCGAGAAATTTCACAGGAGGTATGGACGCACTACACCCGTCATCACATCGAATGTTCTGAGAAGAAGACCGGAGAGCTCAGCCTAATTACTCCCGAGTAAGAAGACGGAACATTCGCGAATGGTACGAAACTAATCGGGAGGATTTGCATCATCGCAAATGCGCGGAGGTAAGGTAAATGTACTAAGCTGATATACAATAGCCTAGGATGTTGAGTGGCAAAAAAAAAAGAAGAAAATTCACAAAGTCCAACTCGGAGGTTCTATACACGAATAGCGCTATCTCACATTCTAGTATGAGCTGTGAACAACTTCAAAAAGTGCAACATTCGAACAAAAGAACGTACTAGCCAATACTCAGCAGATTTGCACAGAAGACAGAGTGACAGTAGGTGAGCTCAAGCAGCCATGAGGCAACACTTCTACTCGGCAAAATCTATCAAGTAACGAAATTTGAAAAAAAAAACATGCGCAGAACTAACCAGCTGCGAATCATGGCAGATGCAGAAGAAGTCAACAACGATCGGAAGAAAGACATGAGGACGCCAGCAAGAAGCAGTCAACTCAGAAGTCACGGCTGCAATGATGGTTTTGTACACACTTTCAATCATATTTCGTTTGTAATTAACCAGATAAAAGAAGATGAAAGTCAACATCATCGGAAAGGAGGAATCATGAGAGTGTCTAGCAAGTTTACAACGTAATTCTAGGATGCAATTCCACAGCATGAGTAATCTCACCACATCAAGTTTGAAAAACACACAGTAAAACTATTGAACTACGCTTACACTTCCTTCAAAAAATGATGTTCCATGCATGTATAAACCAATGCATTTGTTGAACAGGACATTGCTGTAGGGACGAATTAGGTGGATAGGCATATAGCACCTGTACGTTTTGAAAAGGTGTAAATCTAATAAACAATCAGTGGAAACTTCAATAGCTGCTTTCAAGCAGATCGGTGATGTCATCTGCCAGGAACTTATCGTATTATTGCGAAAAAGCCATGCG